CATCCTTATGAAACTTAGTTCGAGCCTGAGAAGAAATTAAAGCTGTAAAAAACCATGTTGTAAAAATAATTTTAATAATGCTTAATTCAAATAATTTGGTAACTTTAATAAAAATGCTCAATTGAAATATATAATGTATTCCATAATTTTAATAGTGATTTTCAAATATTAATATTAATTTGGTAGCTTTATTAAAAATGCTCAATTGAAGTATTAACATAAATTTTATAATTTTATGCTCAATTGAAATATATAATGTACCTCATAATTTCAATAAAGCTCAATTCAAATAACAATATTAATTTGTTAACTTTAAGAAAAATATTCAATGGAAATATATAATAATTTTATACTTATTTTAAATATAAATATATTTCATAATTTTAATAATGCTCAATTCATATATCATTGGTAACTATTAGTAATGCTAAATTGAAATATATAACATATTTTATAATTTATACTCAATTCAAATACACTAACAATATAATTTAATTCCTTGTTTAAGAATTAATCAATTTAATTACTTGTTTAGGAATTAATCCCATAAATGGCCTACTGGCTTCTACTAAAATGAGTAGTTTGACATAATTAATCATAGCTTCTAAAATATTATAGGTAGAGGGCTAAACTATTTTTATCTTGTAGATGAGGGATAGGATCTATAATTTGTTGTGTTTGACTTTTGATATTTTTATGAAAAATATGCAAAATGCTTATCGGTTCAACCCGGTCTCCCCTATTGAAATTATGATTGGTAACGATTTCGATTGATAGTTCTCAAACAAAATTGTTCAAATTTATTGAAAACATGTTTTTGCTTTTGCGCAATGTTACTTAATTAACGGACTAAGGGCGCTTTGAAATAAGGCAGAGGATGATACTCAAGGGTAATTTGTATATGGGAAAAAACCTAATGGGGGTATTGATCACTGTCATTGTTTTATTCGTCGTTTAATAACAGCGGTAAATAAACTCTTTCATGTCTAATAAATATTACCTGATAATTATTTATCATAAAAATTCATGAATATTTTGTATAAAAATTTCAGCATCTTTCTTTCGGATAATTCCCCAGTAGTATCTATCGCAATTTTTAAAATGAGCCAAAAATCTTTTAATAAAACCACCCAGTGTGACATGAAATAATGTTGGAACTAGAGGTGGGCGGTCACGGTGGGTCACGGCGTGTGTGTAAATAAATTTCAAATTATTAGGCGTGACGGGTCTTTCCAAAATTTTTCCTGGGCGTGAACATGAATTTCCCGTGAATCCCGGAAATTTTAATTTTTTTTATAAATATAAATTTACAATTTTATAATTATAATACATATTTTCTAATTTAATTTAGTTCTTTTTTAAAAAAGAAAAATTTTTGAAAACAAAAAATATTCAGGCATTTTATAAACAACATATGGTGTCACGCTCCTAGTTCTATTTTCTTTTTGTTTAGATGTTTTGTCGCGAGATTTTTTACTTAAACTTTAAAATTTATTCTCAAGCACTTAAGGGAGGCCTAATTCTAGATCCTAATTTCAAAAGCCTTAATAAATAGACGAAGAAAAGGAAGATATTTACAAAACAATCTTAAAAATGTGAAATGATATAAAATTAGATGATATGCATAAGTCAATGCCAACTGTCATTTATAACTTTCCTAACTCATCCTACATTCATAAAAAACCATATATTCTAAATGAAACAATTTTTAGATGATTCTGATGAAGCATCAACATCTACCGATGAAAGCTGTGTGAATTTAAAAGATTCATCCCATAAAACAAATAACAATGGCAATATTTTGAAGTTTTGGAAGCAAGAAAATTTATTTCCTTATTTGAGAAAATTAGAGAGTAAAATGTTGTCAGCCCTGGCAAATTCGACTTCTAGTGAAAGGTTAATTTCTGTAACCAATCGCCTATTAGAGGAAAGGCGCACACAATTGGAATATAAAAAAATTGACATTCTTCTTTTTCTAAGTAAAAATTTGGATTTATAATATGTATTTATTTTTTGTTATTATGGATTATGGAAATAAAGAAATAAATAGAATAAATTCAAAAAAGTGTAAAAAATTATAGCATTAAAGTTTTGAAAAATTTAAAAACACCGTTAATTTTCAGGCGTGAATCAAAATATTGCCTTTCGTAAGCGGGGAGTCGTGTCGAAAATTTTTTAGTGGTAAGCGTGAACATATTTATTGCCACCGTGAGCGGGCGGGCCATGAATAAAAAATTAGGCCCGCGCCCACCTCTAGTTGGAACTTTTTAAATCATCTGCACTCTACAAAATAAATTTCGTATATTCAGACCCTACAACAACTACGCTAGTTTTTAAACCCAGTCGACTTATGTTTCTAGTAGAAAATTCGAATCCGATTTGATGAGCCGACTCGAGAGCTAAACTACTAATGCGAGAGTAATAAAATTGGATATAATCATAATGTTTTATTCGTCAAAATATTATAATTTATTTATTTTTAATGTTAAAATATAATAAGGGCATGTAAATAAATTATCAAACTGATTATATTCAGAAGATGCCCTTTATTTTAAAAATTCTACATCATTGAGAATATTTTTATATTTATTGATTATAATACAGAGATTTTATTAAATGTTTTCTTTTAGAACCATAATTACACATTAATATTTCAGAAGTATTTTTTACAGCTTTAACCGTTTTTTTACCCATACCATACATTACCTCTAGATGTTTATTATATAAATCGTTGATGCTTGACTTTTAGTTTTGCTATAAATGTCCAATAATTTTTATTTCATGCTAAGAATGTAATGTATGTTTACCAAATATTAAATTATTAAGATAAATAAATATATTTTGCTAAATGCAAAAATTACCAAAAAAATAATTTTTATTACTTTTTAAGTAAAAAGGGGTTTTTAGTAAAATATATCATCACATAAACTTTTTCGCCTTAGTATTCTTATCCTATCAATTGTGATCGTGATTTTTTAGGGTAGTTATAATTACAATTTAGGGTAGTTATATTTACAATTCCTTTTATAATAAAATTAAAGTAGGATTTGATTAAAAATTATAAAAAATAAAGAGAAACTTTATTAAAGATTTTGATGATTTGAATAGTATAGGAATCACTTTACTTTTGATGGTTGGTGATAATTAAATTATTTTAGATGATATAGGTTTCATAGGTAAAAGTTACATATTTGACCAAAATATATATAAATTGTTGAATTCCATAAAAAGAAATCAGATTTTGACCTCAAGACGGTGAAATCAGCTTTGTCCACTTTGCCCAAAAGAAGTGGTTAATATTTTACTAACACTTCCTAGTTCTACTGAAAAATTGATCGCTTTGGGGTAACATTCATACGAAATACAGAAATAGATTGAAGACCTTGACAATAGGAAAATTTGTAAATGTATACCATAATCTTAGGGGTTTAAAAATATAAAAGAAAATAATAACTCCATTGAATCAGCAATCCCAGTAACAATGACATCAAAATCAAATGTCCCAACCAGATGGGACAGAATATTAGTTATGCTCGAAAGTATTTTCGAGGTTAATAAAAATCGGCGTAATGTCATATAAAAGAATTTAAAAACATTATCACATTGAAACTGTGAATTGGATCTAGTGTAGGAGCTACTATAATATTTTTTCAACATTTAAAGCAACAATTGATTTTTTTTCAACACAAATGAATTTGGCATTACTATTCAGGAATGAGATAGAAATCCATCTGATAAATGGGAGGGGATTATATTTGATTTCAATAATATATGACAAAAACTTTATATATTTTTTTATAGTATTATTTGTATTACACTATATAGCAAGATCCGAAAGTATTCGTTGATAATAATGATCAGGGGATATCGGGGATAGTGTCATCTCGAGAAAGATAATTTATTCTCAAATTTTAAAACTTTAACATTTGAAATTCAAACCGTTTTTAATATTTCTATTGTTTTAAAATATTTTAAGTATAATTAAGGCACAACTATAAATATAGAGCTCATTGGCCCTCTAAACCAATATATAGCAAGATACATTTTAGGGTCAAATTAGAAAAAGCAAAGATCGTTAATACCTGTTTGCTAAATTGTAAAGGTTAAATATTGTTATGTAATGTCCAACTCTCGAAAGCATCATAGAACATGGAAGGAGCAGAAAACACACAACAACCATCTGCATATGGGTAATTACATATTTATTTTATTCTATTTATCTTCCCAGAAGCAAATGATGGTCACTGCGATAGATCTTGTGTAAATGAAATGTCATATGTTAATATTGAAGAATTACTGGTGATTGAATTAAGGTGATAAGATACTTGTTCATTGTAGCTCGATTTTTAAAAACGGCTAACTCAATATTTTAACCAAAAAATATTACGCAAGCCTGAAGATTTGTTCATAGATGGCAGAAAGGTTTGGACATCTATTAACGAAATCTCGAGGCTTTTTTTTTTAATATTGGGTTAGGCATTTATAAAAATGGAGCCGTTTAATAATTGTTTTTTATCCATTTTGATAATCAATTCCAAATATCCATTTTAGGTTTTTAATAGAAATATTCAAAGGAAATAAAATGTATCTTGCTATACAAAGGCATAGGGAAGTCTATAAGCTGCTCTATATCTATAGTTGTGCCTTAATTATATTTAAAATATTTTAAAACAATAAAAATATTAAAAACATCAGGCAGAGCGTAATAAAAAAAATTGATGGATTTTGATGTATGACATGGCATAGTGCATTGCCTTGTGAATAAAATCTTGCGGAACCATGCATTCTTCAAAAATGAGCTCCTTTTAAATATGCATTTCTTTCAGCACATATGTTACCTAGACCTTTACTCAGAAAACCTATATGAATAGGTAGTATTAACTACCATTAAGATACTACAATCTAATTTTTGATATTATTTATAATCATTATCAAAAGAGGAAAGGGGTAAAAAGGACAGAAATATGAATTCGTTTAAAAAAATCATATAATTTATAAACTTGAAGGTCTATGTAGAGCGAGTTAACATCTTGATTCTCAATATTGGAAGGTGTCATGCGCTTCAGCTTATTTTCGACTTCGTCCAACCAAGAGGACATCTCCGCTATTTCGTCCTTCAAATCTTTATATAAAGCAGGGGATTGGTTTGTGTTATGTGTATTATATAATAACTGAATAATCGCAAAAACTTATAAAGTAATGAGTGGAACAATAGGAATATAGATTACATGATCGGAAGTTATTTAATATCTTTTTATCATCCTACATCCAGATGATTTACTTTTTGATTGTATCTTAAATACATAATCGCCTACGTGACATAGCCTTTATAATTAATTAATAATCACGAGAAAAAAAATAAAAGACCCTTTGGTTCCGAAAAATTCAACAATTTTGTAAAAATGAGTTATATCACCCAAATTCTTAAGCTAGTAACTAAATATTCAAATATGATAATGGATGATTTATTTTTATTGATATAATATTTTAATACATTTAACTACAGTAAAACCTTTCTAACTTGGGTCAAGCACCTTCATGGGCCGGGCCAGTTCATGACCCATGCTTAAAGTGCTATTTTCTAGAGGATCTGAGTTTTTGAAAAATCAATGGTTTTTGAAAAATCAATGGGATTGGGCCTAAAATATTTTTCATTTAAATTAAGCTTATTTAAAACAATTGTTAACTTAATTTTCTTCTAATGATAATAAATTTCAATATTACATTTGCAAACAAAATGATCACCTAAATACACTGAAATATTATTTATTTTCATTAAATACAATTAATTAAATTTTTGGAAATGGGTTTGGGGAAAATTTTCGAAGTTTATTATGGGCTTGGGCGGGGCCCGGAAATTACATATGGGCGAACCTAGGCCTATTAAAAAATATATTGCTGCAGGCCTGGACCGGGCCTGATCAAAAAATTAAGGCCCATAAAGGTCTATGAATTGGATACCGTTGGGGCCAAGATTTTCTCCCAACTTTAACTAATAATTTGATTAGGACTCAAAAGTTCATATTAGGGAGTTTCCCGAATTATCCCCAAATTAGACAGGCCTTACTGTATTTTTATTTTTTCATTTCTAATATTATATAAAAAGGGGGTGATTATTGACATCGAAATCGGAAACCTATAAAATGGAAATAGCAGGATTTAAATAAAAAATCTCGATAATTGTTTAGAATACGTGATTACTATCATCTAATGCAAGAAACGAACAACATGTTCCACGGTTACGAAACAGGATACCACCTTAAAAGTGGTGTGAGCACTTAATGTCAAGCGTTAAAAAGATGAGAGGAGGATCATAAAACGAAAGTATGTGATTAAACAAATATTTTAAAAAAAGTGTAAGATAGATATTAGTGACCATAGTAAGAGTTCTAGCATTGAGGGCGCGAAGTAATTTATTAATGCCTTCTTTAGACTTAGGGGTAAATCTTTTCGTGTTGTCTTCGAAAAAATTTATATCACGAAGATGCTGTTAGTCATAACGCAAGGATAAGAGAAATAAATGGAAATATTGCCTATAAATGTGACTATTGTCTAAGTACAAAGATGAAGAAATATTTTTTAAAAAAATGGGTCATTCCTACCTTTCAAACTAGGTATCTTCTGATAGCTTTCCCTTTGAGCTAAAATCTTCTCCAGCACACTCCATTTATTGTCGACTTGTTCCATCTTAGCCTTGATTTCCGTTTCCAGTTCGGGGTATCGTTGACATAAGTGAACGGATTTCTCGACTAAATTCGCTTTCTTTGCTTCCCACAGATTAACCATTTCGTTGGAAGACTTTGGTAAAAATAAATATTATCTTAATTATATCATTTAAAACAAAAATAATATGAGATATAAAAATTATAATTGTTTTTAAAAAATAACCATTTTATAAGATATTTTTGTTAAAAAAAATGAAAATTCATGATACTTGCAAAAATCCATTCTGGAGATTTTCGGCGAACTGGTTGAGCATATCGATAATTCTGTTGTATTGTTCCAAAAAATCGTTGTATGACGAAGTTAAATTGGGATGAGATGATTGGCGTGCTAGAAAGCAATCGGCTTCCTTCAATAAAATGTATTGTTGATAATATTACATACATAATTCCCTAGAGTCGGGAGAGGGGGGGGAGGGTAGAGCTTGCATTTCTCATTTTAGTTAAAATTTTGGCTAATTTTCAAATAGGAACCTCCTCTTTCACTCAACTAATTTAAAGGGATTAGAGGGAAACACTTATTATTTTTAAGTAATATTTCTTTAAATGTGAAGAAATCCAAAAAAAATATATTGGCAACTAACTTGACATTGTTTAATCAAATCCTGTCCCATTATAAAGTTGAAATTCGGTTCGACCGTATTCCAAAAATTTTGGGTAGATGAAGAAATGGTGGAGTGGTTTAAGTCGTGACTGTTATTCAATAAGCTCTCCTCAAAATTTTCGGCAGGATGGTTTTTCGATCTAGTGAGCGGAGATTTAAAAGAATCTTTGCTGAAGTTCTGAAGATTAAACGATAGTGGCGAAAATGAGAAAGAGGACATGGTGGAAAGGGAAGAACGCGAATTTATGGTGGGGGAAGAGTAATTTACGAAACATTTGTTTTCGGCCAAAATGTTACGTATAAATTTGTTGGATAACGGAGAAGAAGATGAAGTGGTAGAACTGATTTCTTCGAAACTTTTCAGGTGCAATCCTTCCATGCTGGGTGAGGGATTATTAATGTTAGTCGCTCCGTTGGAAATATACCCGGATGAATGTTGCGGAAATGGATCTGATAAATCTTTTAGACAATTTTTCCTCTTCCTGGCAACTTTTTTTTTAGGATTTGATGAAGAGCTTTGAGTTGAATCGGGTTCCAAGTTTTCCTTGTCTCGATTATCGTTCATCAAATCTTCAAAATTATTTTTTAGGGCGAAGGCATTTTTGATTGAATCACAAGGTTTTATGTATTGCACGTTAGGTCTTGGAGGTGGGTGATTTATAGAAATATTGTTAATGCGATGATCCGTGAATTCGAACGTCGGAGGAGAGAAGGTGTAATTATGAGATATCCCATTGTGACAATCGTCCTCGCGACTGGAATTATCACCTTGTTTTGGCTTATTTGAATACTCCTTATAATCATGATTTACTAATTCGTCTAATATAACCATTTTTCATTTTCCTCCAACATGTTTAGTTAGTCTTAACAAAATGAACAAAATTATTAATTATTTTTTTTAAAGCAGACGAATAAAAATATTTAAATTTTAAACACAAGCAATACCGAAAAATTTAAATTTAAAATTGTTATTTATAAAAAATAAAATTAATTTACTAAAAAATTTTATTTCGATAACCTATCATCATTTTAAGAGTTGTAATCAAATTTCGTTTTAATATGTTTATAAAAAAATAGTTTGATTAACCTTCTTGCATTAAAAAAAAATACATGATTTAGTAAATGAATTCCATCTGGATTTAATTGATATCACGTTCTACTCGAATTTATATTATAATGCAATACATGAAAAGCACAACTAAATAAAGATATAAAAATCTGAAAGAGATTAAATATAAAATTAGTTATATAAATCCAAATGCAATGGAATAAGAAAAAAAAACATTAGATTTTAATTAAAATATTTTTCTTATTATGTTTTTTATTTTGTATAGTGAAGATTATGAAGAAATAGTAATATTATAGATTAATCTTCATTCCAGTTATAAAAAAATTGGTGTAACAAAAAAATAAGGGAAGATGAGGACGAAATGACAGTTACAATGTTTATATATCTACTAATGGAAACAATGGCTAGAAAGGATGATAATAATTTTTCTCCTCTAGGACACACGAACGATATCGACATACCAACAACAATTAGGCTAAATTAGAAATAATGGCAAGAATGACGAAAATGATAGCCATGAACCGATTATATAATTTAGAGGTCTCCAGTAACCACTAAAACTAGTACAAACGTTATTCACATACAAGAGCTTTCCCTATAGGATAAACGATATGGACATACCAACATTCAAAGATTGAAAAAATGTCCTTAAACATAGGAATCATATTATTTATTTTTTAAATCAAATTAATATTATTACCTCATTACATGATATTTCAAATGTTACCAATATTCTGCCCAATGGCTCTAATATATCACCACTTTACTTACTCCTCCCTTTTATTATTCTAGCTAACTACTAGTGGAACCGTCAACTCTAAAACTACACGATACACACTTCAACTACTGGTAGGTAATGAAATTGTACTTCTAACAATTTCTGGCGTGATAATGAATGAAATATCAAATTTTCAAAAAAATTTGGGCACATGGTATTTAGGCCAGTTTAAAAATAATAGTAGATTATTTGATATGTTCGGATAAATCAAATTATAATAAATTGGGTTGTTATCAATAAATGGTGTGCGCATAGCATTTGATTAAATTTCCATAAAATTATTCTAGCTAGAGATGCATTTTTTTTTAAATTATAACGGGCCCAACTAGTTAATTTCGGGCCGGACCGTAAAATTTTGATCTCATCGGGTATTTGATTTACAAATTAACTCTGATCTCCAAGAGTTTGGTTTCAGGTGGATATAAAAGAATACAATACTCACTTGCTAGTAAATATATGAAAATGCACCATTCCCTGGTCTCCCATCGTGAATAGGAGCCTTCAACAATATAAAAAGGTGAGCCGGCAAGTTAAAATTCTGTTCCCGTAATACAGATTTTTTTTTAACTAGGTTGAAAATGAAGTGGATATTAGACCCCGTGTTAATGATTATTCCTACATCATAGTATGCATCTAAATTCTGCATTTTTTTTAGAATGCATGTACGTGAGAGGGGGGTAATAATCAATGGCGGGGAAACTCATTATCGAATGATTCGATTTTTCATTCTATTTCCTCTTCTTCTTAACACTCTTACTTCTTCCGTAGACAAATGAAGAAGTCAATAAATAATAATATGTAATAATGATAAATGAAAAATAATTTTAAAGAAATCTAACGAGGATTGGATTGAATGATTGATTGAAATATTCTCTTATAAATAATAAATAGAGAGAAAAAAACTTTTTCATTTCACGGTTAAAATGAATTTATACATACACATAAAAAATGGACAAGATAATTGATGACAGGCGGGGAATAAAACATGGTTATTGAATTAAGGATGGAAAGGGAGGAGGGAATTAATGAGAGTGATAGATTTATAAGGTATAACTAAAAGATGCGCATACAATTTTGACGAGATTTGAATAATGAATGAATAAGAAGGAGGAGGGATAAAGAAATAATATTTATAATAATATGTAATATAATTTATAAAAAAAAATTTATATATCTAATGGCAATTAAATAACATTTGTTTGATGTAATTAAAACATAATTTACTCCTTTTTTTCCCATATTTATGAATTTATGAGAAATAAGTCAGTAATTTAATTTCCGAGATTATATTTTTTGAATAAGAAGAATTTTATCCTCAAATCCAACAAAGAGGTGGGTTTTTTATTTTATTTTTTTATATTATAGATGATAGTATTATCGATTAGTTTTATAATGCTAATGTAATGACTGGCAAAGAACGTACCCGAGAACGAGATAAATTTTCAAATTCCAAGGAATATAGAAAGAAAGAAAGAATGAAAGAAAGAAAGAAAGAAAGAAAGAAAGAAAGAAAGAAAGAATGAATGAAAGAAAGAAAGAAAGAAAGAAAGAAAGAAAGAAAGAAAGAAAGAAAGAAAGAAAGAAAGAAAGAAAGAAAGAAAGAAAGAAAGAAAGAAAGAAAGAAAGAAAGAAAGAAAGAAAGAAAGAAAGAAAGAAAGAAAGAAACTCTTCTCGAACATCGCAGTCGAAGTTCATTTCCGGTGAATCTGAAATGTTGTTAATTATCCTTCGTATTTTATGGCGGTGTTTAATAAAAAGGGGTTTTAAAAAAAAGTATTGTCAAAAAAAAAGAGATAAAAATTCTTTTTTGCTATTGAATTTAACCCGGGAATAAAAAAAAATATATAATCTACATAAGACGCTTAATATGAAAACATATATCATTTACATGTATATCATGTCACGAAGCAGTTATGATGACAATAAAATGAAGAGAAAAAATAAATGACAAAACAAAATATATAAAAATTTCCGACATCCATAGGGGATAAATTACACCTAGATATTATTTATATTTTTTTTAAACGAAAAAAAATAATGGAAAAGTAAAAAAAACATTTTCTCGGGAAATGTATAGAAATAATTTTCAGACAAAATTTCATTAGAAGAGAAGGAAAGTAAGATAGAAGTAAGAAGAAAAGTAATCAATAAGATGTTGTTATACTTATCGGCATAATTCCTATCAGATAATCACTTATGTTGATGAGAGCCATGGAAGCCTTGTTCACTTAAGATTGAACTGAATTACTAATAGAATGATGACACGAATTATCTGAGTTTTCTGTAAGGTTTCTTATTGGATACCCAATAATAAAATAGAAACAGTACAAAACATAGAATGCTCTGGAGATCTGCAATACGAAAATAAGGGTGGGCGGAGTTAAAAAATTTATAAAATAACGGGTGAACAAGTGGGTTAAAAAAATTTAAATTAGCGTGTAGGTAAAAAAAATAATTTTTTTTCCTCTGACATTTTAAAAATATTAAAATTTAAACGAAAACATTTTACTATATTGTATTTTTTGGTAAAATAATAATTAATGCTTGCCCACAGTGCATGGCTATTTTATCATGAAGTAACTAGTTATTTGTTAGGGTTAAATTTTAAAGGTAACTAGTTCTATCACAAGTCACTTGATAAATCGATTTTTAAAATATATTTTTTCATACTAATTTTACATTTAAAAAAAAAATTATTTCACTGAATAATATGCCACATAATTATATATATTTGCACCGTAAACATATATATTTGCACCGTAAAAATATAAATAACATAGTGGATATTTATTTTTCATAAAAATTTTAACTAATAAACTTTTATTTAACTTTAAAAATTTTATTTAAAGGAAGTTTGTTTCCGCCAAAAATAAACTTCCTTAGACTAACATTCTAGAGCAGCGCTTTATGTAAGTGAGATATTATAATAAACAGATCATATATAGATAATAATTGAGATATATATTATTAAACATATTTTAAAAAGTAAATTGTAGTTAATTACCAGTAGCGTAGCTAGTTACTTTAACACTAATTTTTTAATATTCTTGATGTCCACGAATATGCACAGGGTTGCCTGGTCAATATTTTCAAATTTCAAGAAAGATTTTGACAAAAATTGTTTTAGAAAATTGAGAAGGAAAAAAATTTTACGGCCCCCTTCGACCGGGTTAATGAAAATGCCATTTTGGCTAACATTTTCAATTGCAAATATGATATGATTTATTTATGGTTGTAGTTGTAGATGTAGTAGGTAGATGTTCAGCCTCAACTGCTTGACATTTGAAATATGATTTTATCGTTGTTTCTTAGTCAGAAATATTGACATTATTCTAAATGACTGGTTAATCAGTTGCAAAGTAAACTATAATAAATAAAATAATGACTAATGATAACTTGATAAAAAGATACAAGCAAGTGCTAGGATTAAAAAAAATATCAAGATGGTACTAGTAGATGTCTTAAGTTATTTTAATTAAAATTTATACAAAACAAACAATAAATAACTATAAAATATATAATTAAATTTTTATAGTAAATAGAAATAATATCTGTTAAGTTAAAGTAATATATTGAGATAAGATTATTATAATTATAATTAATATTATAATTATAAATTAGTCTAATATTAATTTAAGTAAGTAAAATTTATATTATATTAATGATTTAAGTAAGCGATGTGAATTCTTCATTCATTGACATTGCTTTGGCGGCAACTGATCCTCTCGACTGCTGTGTATCTTTACTCGCGTTTCTGTTCTTGTCATTAATTTTTGTCTCTTTTATCGCCCGAGATCCAGGTTCCTTTTTAGCGTCAACGTTATAATTGAAGCGTATCCTTGGCATAGGATTTTCAATCAGGGGATTTCGGTCATTAAAAATATAAAGCTGAGATTATTGCACTTTATTATGTTTAGGGTCAACCACTGACGTATGAAGTATCCGTCGTTTTGATCCTGGTTCTAGCAGAGATCCGGCGCCCCAACTCTTTGAGGCGAGGGCATGAGAACCGTAAT